CCCTCGACCCTCCGCCTGAGGCGGCAAACTCGTCGAGCCGGCTAAGGACGTTTACATTGTCCTTCTCCAGCTGACGTAATCTATTGCCAAATTTCTCTTCAATCACCTCTGCCAGCTGACGAGCCAAGGGGGCTGATCCCCCTGACCTGATCCCCATACTGGTTTGAGGGGTAACCCCTCTCGACCGAGTAGAGGCACTTTTATTCGTATTGGTGTGATCCCTCCCTCCGTGATGACAGGGAGCTTGTAACTCGAGACTCCTTTGGTGGGGTCCTTTCCCTCTTTGTCGAGTGTTCACCATGGTCACTGTTCTTTATAGAGAGAAAACTAGGAAAACTAGTCGTTTCCCACAGACGGCGCCAGATTGTGCGTGCAAGATCCTGCACAATATAAAAAACGAGAACAGATCTCTCCCTTGATGAACTTCGAGTAAGCCGGTTGAGTGACCAAGCACGCTGCTTGGGATAGCCTGCGAGGTTCGGTGATAACCCGGAACGGCAACGGGAGACCCTGGGAAAGGAAGAATGATCCTGTAAGGCTGGAAAAGGTTCCTGGAACAAAGAAGAACAAGTTAGAAGGGCGCCGGAGTGTTTTCCGGCGTATCCCCTCCGACGATCTAGTCAGTCTTTGAGAAAGAGAGAGAGAGAGGATAGAGAAAACAGTGAATGTATTGTAATAGAGAGTTCGTTGTCCCCCCGCTATGCCTTTTGCCAGGAGTATTTATACCTCAAAAGCTCATGATTGCTGTCAGTGTGGTCAGTAGATGATCATTAGGCACAGGTAGCGTGTACATTCGATTCTAATGAGGAATGTCTTCTCTAATTAACTGCTCGGGGTCCCGAGCAATCAATGCTGGGTCGTCGGGATGCCGACGGTACAATGTGCTCCTCTCGGGGAGGATGCAATAAATGCTCTGTAATAGGAGCATTTATTGTCTTTCATTTCCGAGCCTTACCGCATTGAATGCGGTCTCATCAAGGGAATGGTGCAATTAATTATTTGCTTTCCCAAGTCGCGTGTCAGCAACGGCATGCGGTTTGTCTGTCTCTGATATGATATCATATGCCACGCGTCTATCCCCTATTGGTTGTGACCTCTGTATTCCAGTACGTTCTGACATTACTTGTGCAAGACGAGGTCATGATGAATAGCCTAGACTAGCCTAGGCAAATGACCTGTACGTCAATAGCTTATCCTGGAATAGAGGAAGCGTCCAGGACGGGAATAGAGGAAGCGTCCAGGACGGGGTACCTCTCGGCACCGAGGGAAGGCTCATCTCGGGGACCGAGGGAGGTATGCCGACCGAGGTACATATCAGACCGAGGCCACGTGTCGGTTGTAAAATATACTGAATATATGATCTTATACGACGGTACCTCGGGGACGAGGACATTCATACGCCGATGTGCTTGATCCTAGCAACAGTATTTTAGTAAATCGAGGACACGTGTTTTCATCATAGGATTTTTCAGAAAAGTCCCATCAGACACATTTAAGATGGCTTGCCAAAAACTTCAACTAGCATTATCCCTGCAAAAGAGTCACATTTTTCTATACAAAGCCATACGTTTCCACCCCAGCCCCAATAGGATTAAGACAGACAGTGAATTTGAAACCATTTATACGTGAACTAGAATCATTCTTTTCCATCCAAAGCCATGGCTCCAACTTTGAAGAAACTGCTACCCTTCTTCCTCTTCTCCATCTTCTCCTTCTCACCTATCTCAAGCCACCACCATCCACTAGACCCTCTAACCCCACCGGAATTCAACATAATACGATCCATTGTTCTAAGCTCGTATGCTGGCTCAAACCACAACCTCACCTTCCAGTATGTGGGGTTAGATGAGCCAGACAAACAAGACATCCTCTCATGGTTGTCAAACCAAACCACCACCAATTACTCGCCTCGACGAGCCTTTGTTATCACTCGACTCAACAAGCAAACCCATGAAATCATCCTCGACTTGTCGACAAAATCGATAATATCTGATAAAATATACACTGGCCATGGCTACCCTGTACTAAACATGGAAGAACAAACAACTGCAAGTGAACTACCCCTAACATACCCTCCATTCATGGAGTCTATTAAAGCTAGAGGGCTCAACATCTCTGAGGTGGTCTGTTCTACCTACAGTGTTGGGTGGTTTGGAGAGAGAAAGAGCTCTAGGGTTTTGAAAATTCTATGTTATTATACAAATGGGACTGTGAATATATACGCAAGGCCATTGGAGGGAATAACAGTGGTGGTTGACCTGGATGAAATGAAGATCAAAGAATATCATGATAAGCTTAAAGTTCCAGTACCGAAAGCTGAAGATACTGAGTACCGATTGTCTGAGCAGAAGCCACCGTTCGGTCCACGTTTAAACGGCGCAACTATTCTGCAACCAAAAGGTCCAGGGTTTGTCATAGAGGGGCACACAATCAGGTCAGTATTTACCGTATAGAATTAATGTTAAATATGTAGAAATAATTGTCACTTATACTATATTCCAAGGTATAAAGAGTAATGAACCGAATATAAAATCAACTTTAATTAACTTGGCATGTATCTTGTACTCAAGTTTACAACGGTATGATTGTTAACTTGGACGAACATATTTTAATTACGACTACATAATTTATAACCCATCACTAAAGACCCTCAAGAAATGTGAAATTCATGTGTTAGAAGGGGTGATTGAGCTAAATTGGTCTAATGATGCTTTAAATACCAAGTTTTGATTATATTATTGGATTGTGTCAATATCGACTCAACGTCAAATAACACTACAATATACATCTTAAATTGCGTAAGATAGTTACGTGATACACAATCAATCTTGATTTGTATTTTGATAGAAAATAACAGGAATACTCCTGACTAATTTTGAATGGGTTTGGAAGAAAGGGTGTTTTCCTCCTTTGATCTAGTCTTGACCGAAAGCTTTTATTGACAATGTGGACACATGATAGAGAGGAGTGGTCCAACACGAAACATGAGCCTTACAATGGTTAGTCATTGGTAGGTTAGCACTGCCAAAACATCTGGGGCAGATTTCTCTCCTAGATATTTGACCATCTAAGTGATGGATGTGACGATATCAATATGGTATATGCATGGCTAAACTTTGTTCATCTGAGCTTGATGTGAAGTCTCAGTTTAATAATCCACATGGAATGTTAATGAAAAACTTGATAGATAAGATGGATTGACTTAATGAAAATTTGAAGGGACGAAAAAATAAGATGGATAGACTTTTCATCATTTGAGGAAAAAAAATATTTTCTCTTCTTTTTATTTGGTATGATGGATGAAAAGTGGGATGGATTAATTTTTCATAATTTGTTATTATAGAAGAAAACGAAAGGAAAGAAAATAAGTCTAGACTTAATTTACCATTATACCCTTAAATACAAAAAATAATTTTTTCATTATAAATAAAATTTTCAAGATTTAAAAATGTTCAATGTTGCTTTAATTAGTTAAATAAATAAATAAATAAAAATATAAATATAAATATGTATATGTATACAAAAGATAATAGCCAAAAAATATAAATATGAAAATATATGTGTGATAGAATATTTAGAAGTGTATAGGGTTTGAATTAGAATTGTGACATAATGATTAAAAGTATATTCAAGGACAAAAAAATTAATTTGTCCAAAAAGTAGATAATCTTCAACGTTCCTACCACCACTGGAAGGGAAAAAAAATGGTGGGCCGCAGGAAAGCACTTTCCCTCAAATTATTTTTTTTATCTAACCAACTTTTTATCAAACTAAACACACTATATGGGAGTTGCCTATTGTACCCAAAAAAAAAATTAAAAAAATATGCACCGTATCAAAAAAATAATAATAAAAATAGCTACAACAAAAATTGTAAATTATATACAAAAATAATAATTTTTTTATACAAAAAAAATGATAAAAATAGTTACCACAACAGTGGTAAAATACCCCTAAAAGGTGATAAATTTTCTTATTGGAAAATGACTCAAAAAATTATAAAAACACCCATTATAATAGTAAAATTTATCTTACCAATTTTTTTTTCCAGTAGCACAAACACACACATGTATACATGTTTTAAGATGTAATGCTTTAAGTGGACAAGAGTTTACTTGACAAAAAAAAAAAAGCAAAAAATAATTTCATTTTTCGTCTCAAATGTCTGTTTTGTGTTTTTTTTTTCCAAGTAATTTTTTGGTTAAACGAAACACTGCTTCCTTTCTTTTTTACTTTCTTTCTTTTCAACTTATAGGCAAGGGTGGCTCAAGGTAAATTGAGGCCTAAAGTGATAATACTAAATGAGATTTTTTTTTTTAATACTTTTTTTAGAAAAAAATATTTTTAATTTTTTTTAAGTGAGAGAGGAGGATGTGATATTTTATTTTTGTTTTTTTTAAGAGAGAGATAGAGAGAGATTTTATTTATTTATTTTTAATTTTTTGATTTTTGAGTTTCTAATACTATGGATTGAATTGTAGGCCTAAATTATTGAAATTATAATTTTTTGATTGGACTTAAATTTTTTGGGGCCTTTTTATAAGGCTTAAAATTTTTATGGATTAAATTTTTTATGTAGACTAGTTATGTATCTATAATTATGGGGCATTTTAAAATTTGGAGTCTAAAACTCATGCTTTTTTTTTTTTAATACTATTGAGCCGGCCAGCTTTTAGGGAGAAAAAAACTTAGAAAAGGTTAAATAGGAACTAAGATTTTCTTCCATATTGAGTTATTTGGCAATGCACAACTATCTACTATAAATTTCTTATCTAATTAAGAATAATGTTATTTGGAACAAAAAATTTGACTTAATTTATTGGCATAATGATATGGCTTCATAAGAATCATTAGATTAACACCAACTTTCAATGTTTGATGAGCTCTACAAGCAATCCAAATGTTACAATAAATTAGATCCGAATAGCATTCCTCATCTAATTAAATGGTAGTTGTGTTGTAAATTTCAGAGATGTAACTAATGCAATCTTCAATCTTTCATGGTGAGTAGGTGGGCTAATTGGGCCTTCCATTTGGGCTTCGATGTTCGAGCCGGTCCAATTATATCTCTAGCGTCCATATATGATCTTGAGAAGCAAAAATTTCGTAGGGTGCTATATAGAGCATACATATCGGAGCTCTTCGTTCCATACATGGATCCAACCGAGGAGTGGTACTACAAAACATTCCTTGATTCTGGCGAATTCGGGTGTGGTCAATCGGCAGTGTCGCTCAAGCCCATGGAGGATTGCCCGGCCCATGCGGTTTTCATGGATGGTTACTATGCAGGAGGAGATGGAAAACCTATCAAGATATCAAATGTTTTTTGTATCTTTGAACAACATGCTGGAAATGTATTGTGGCGTCACACCGAATCTGCCATTCCCGGAGAAGTGGTAAATCATTTTCCGATGTGTTCGAGTTGGATATCATGATGAATACATGATTTGTGAAAGAATTATGTGTTTTTGTAGATAACGGAGGTTAGAGGAGAAGTTAGCCTGGTGGTGAGATCAGTTTCAACAGTAGGCAACTATGATTATATGATGGATTGGGAGTTCAAGCCCAGTGGATCAATCAAACTTGGGGTAAGCCATAGTTCCATGCACATATTAAAAGGTTGAACCGTGCCGAGTTGAGCACTCAACTGTTCTGGTTCAACTACTTGCACTAGCTTAGTATCGTGACTAGCATCAAATAATGCTCAAAATAAAGCTCGGGCTGCATGTGTGTGTGTGAATGAGTGAGCCTAAAGAGCTAAAATAAGTCATTGTTTGAGCTCGACTTAAAATTGAGCTCGAACTCGAATCGACTTTACTAAGTTGTTATTGAGACAATTCCTCACTGTTCATAAACAGCTCAGCCATTTGACCTGTAATCATATATGGTTATTGCTTGAGAGATTGACTAATGTCATTGAACTTGACATGAATGTTTCCCTTGCTCCAACAATTTTTGGTTTCAACAGGCAGGGCTCACTGGTATCTTGGAAGTAAAGGGAGTATCTTATACCCATGCAGATCAAATAAAGGAGGACGTCCATGGCACATTAGTGGCCGAAAACACCATAGGCGTATACCATGATCACTTCTTGTCATACCATCTTGACCTTGATGTGGATGGTGAAGCCAATTCCTTTGTTAAGACCAACCTGGAGACAAAAAGAGTGATCGACAACGCCTCTCCTAGGAGGAGTTACTGGACGACCATCAGTGAGACGGCAAAGACCGAGTCCGACGCTCGAATCTGGCTAGGGTTGAAACCAGCTGACCTAGTGGTGTCGAACCAGAATAAAAAGACCAAGCTTGGGAACCCTATTGGGTATAGGTTGATTCCAGGATCAGTGACAAGTTCTCTTCTATCTGATGATGATTACCCACAAATCCGAGGGGCCTTCACCAAGTACAACGTTTGGGTCACTCCATACAACAAGTCTGAGAAATGGGCAGGAGGATTGTATACTGATCAAAGCCGAGGAGATGATACCTTGGCTACGTGGAGCCTCAGGTACCAATACGGCTTAGATACCTCCTTATCAAGTTACAATATATATATATATATATATTTTTTTTGTTCCTATATTGTTAAACCATTCGAGCAATTTGGGTTCCACTTAGTTTTGATTCGTCTTTGTCAAATAGAAAAAAATGAACTAAATTTGATCAAAATCTTACACTCAGTTTTATGCAATAATTTAATCCGAGTCACATGAGGCTCGAATCAAGTAAGTTTGAGTCGGCTCAATTTGAATAAGTTATTATCTATAAATAATTCTAATTTTATTATCGAACAAATTCTATTCGAAAGATGAACAACGAAAATCTTATCTACAAATAATACAAGATCATACACATACTTCCCTATTAGCTTTTCTATTTTTGATTGATTGAATAGATTCTTAGAAGATTTTTATTTAAAAACTGATTATTTTTGGATTAATAATTAAACTCTACAGTTGAATTATTAGACATTTTCAACCCTAAGCTTGCCAAGCTTGAATAAAAATCCAGGCTTAGCATTTGAACTCTGGTCAATCTCGAGTTCAGCCAATCACAGCCAAGCCAAGTTTGATGAAATTTGATAAGCTCGACTTCGATTTACCCCTAGTTGTTATTTGCGACTGTACATCATATTGAATATATATTGTTTGATGTTGAATGTACAGGAATAGGGAGATTGAAAACAAGGATATTGTGGTGTGGTACACTATGGGCTTTCATCATGTACCCTACCAAGAAGACTTTCCGATTATGCCGACACTCAGCGGCGGTTTTGAGCTCCGGCCGGCCAATTTCTTCGAGAGAAATCCAGTGCTTAAAACAAAATCGCCAAAGTATGTGCACTGGCCTAACTGCACCACCAGATCCTAATTAACTTACTCTATCAGCCATAAATAAAAGAGCACATGCTCTTCACAAGTCTAGTTCTTTCGTTTTGTGCTGTGACTCAAACTTGCTTTGTTGCTCTTAGTTATATTTAATGGGGAATATTTATGGTATCATGTTTAATATCGTACCAAAAGTTGGTACATAATAAAGATGAGGTTACGACTTAATTTAGGTCAAGGTACAACTTCAAAAAGTTAGGTCACCGCTAAAAAAAAGTTAGGATCAATCTAAAAATGTTAGCATCAAGCCTTAAATTTTAATCTTGATATTCTACGATCAATCTCAAACAACTTCATTTTGTCAAAACCTCATATGTATTATGTAGTAATTTTAGGTAGGGTAATTGTTGATACCGAAAAATATACAAAAGGCAATGGGACAACAAGCGAAAACTACCAGAAAGGACAGAAAAAAATTTTCATCATCAAACCATACTTTAATATTCCCCTAATATTCTGTTATAAAATGCAATGACCACTATGTAAAAAGAGGCCTCAAACAAGGAAAAAAACTCTATTGTACTCTTCTGATTCAAGAAAATAATATAGAATCAAGGAGTAAGAGTCGCAATTATAGTGGATTAGCCAAAATTTTTAATTAGTGAACCACTTATTTTTTTTGTGTTCTCATCCATTTTTACACACACACGACACATCCACTGAGAGTTCATCCAGCTCTCCATGTTATGAAATTAAACAACGACAATAAAGTGAAATTAAATCAAAGAACGATAAGAATGCAATTCAGACAATCACACAACACAGAATTTACGTGGTTCGATAATTTGCCTACGTCCACGAAGTTACAAGGGTTTCACTATTCTCAAGAACAAATACAGAGAGGACGGCGGGCGAACATAATCAATCCATCAACCCTAATCACCGAATAATCAGTTTATATATGTCCTGCGCACAGGGCTACAAAAATCGACCCAAGCCTCCGCTCTATGGACTAAGTCTCAGAAAATTTTCATTAAAAAATCACGCAACATTATTCGGGTAGGGTCAACATCCGGATCGCACACAAACTAGACTCCACAAGAAGAAACCCAACAAATCTCCCACTTGGAGACTAGTTTAATCACCAACATCAAACCGTAATCCTCCGAGAACAGCCCCTCATCCCTGCAACTTATCCTCTTGTCCTTAAGCCAAAAGACCAACTGAAGTTGTACACAACTTCAGTTTCTCAATAGTAACACCTTTAGTCAACATGTCTGCCAGGTTCTTAGTTCCACAGATTTTCTCCAGTATCAACTGACCATCATCAAGTAAGAAACATATGAAATGATACCTAATTTGAATGTGCTTCGTCCTGGAATGAAATGCTGGATTCTTGGCAAGAAATATGACACTCTGACTATCACTGTAAAGAGTTCCCCTCTGTTTCTTTTTACCTAGTTCCTCCAAAAAACTCTGTAACCAAATCATCTCCTTTGAAGCCTCTGACACTGCAACATACTCGACCTCTATAGTAGAAAGAGATACTATCTTCTGCAAGTTGGAACCCCAAGACACGACAGTACCACCCAAGGTGTAAACAAAACCAGTGGTGTTCTTCCTACTATCAGTGTCTCCGACCAAATCGGCATCAACAAAATCCTGTAACTCCAAGCTATCTCCAGTGAAACACAAACATGTTTCTGAGAAACCTTTCAAGTACCTTATAATCCACTTCATAGCCTCTCAATGTTGTCTTTCTAGGTTGCTCATGTATCTAATCACAACTCCCACTGTATGGGCAATGTCTGGTCTTATACAGACCATAACATACATGAATGAACCAATAGCTGAAGCATAAGGAATCTTACTCATGTAGTCATGTTCCTACTCTGTCTTGGGTGACTGATCTTTGCTGAGTCTGAAATGACTACCTAGCAGTGTGCCAATTGGTGTGCCTTGGTCCATGTTGAATCTACTGAGTACTTTTTTCACATACTCGGCCTGCGTCAATTTCAATGTGCCCTTGACTTTTCCTCTGATGATTCTCATACCAAGGATTTGTTTTGCAGCATTCAAATCCTTCATTTCAAACTGTTTTGACAACTGTTTCTTCAGATTGTTAATCTCCTCAATGCTGGACCCTGTAACGAGCATATCATCCACATACAATAACAAGATAATGTAAGAATTGTCAAATTGCTTGGCGTAACAACAATGATCTTCCTGACACCTGATGTACCTTGAACTGCACATAAAACTGTCAAATTTCTTGTACCACTGTCTAAAAGCTTGTTTTAGGCCAATCAAGCTCTTTCCCAGTTTGTAGACTAGATTCTCTTGTCCCTGAATAATGAACCCTTTTGGCTGAATCATGTGAATGTCTTCCTCCAAATCACCATGAAGGAATGCCGTCTTCACATCTAACTACTCAAGATGCAAATCTTCAAGAGCAACAATTGCTAGCACTAGCTTGATAGTTGTGATCTTCACTACAGGAAATAAGATCTCAGAGTAGTCAATGCCCTTTTTCTGTTGAAAGCCTTTTACAACTAGCCTTGCCTTGTACCTTTTACTGTCATCATGCTCAGTCTTCACACGGTACACCCACTTGTTGTGTAGAGCTTTCTTCCCAGATGAAAGTTCTGCCAGTTCCTATGTCTGATTCCCTAGTAGGGAGTCCATCTCATCTTTCATGGCTAACTCCAACTTGCTCGAATTCTCATCTTGCAAAGTTTCTTCATAACTCTGTGGTTCTCCACCATCTGTCAGCAGGATGAAACTCAGTATAGGTGAGAATCGCTGTGGGGGTCAGATAGTCCTGGAAGATTTCGAGTAGCTGCTGCAAGTGTGGATGGTTCAAGATCTAATTGCGGAATAATGGGAATGGGCGCACTGAATCCACTCTCACCATCACTGTCGTCTCTGCATTGCACTGTGACCTCTGGTAGGTCGACAAGCTTGGACTATTGAGGAGTTGTATCAGCAACTGTACAGGACTTGTCCTTGTATATAGCTTTCTCATTGAACACCACGTTTCTGCTCCTAATGATCTTTCGATTCTGCTCATCCTAGAATCGATAACCAAATGCCTCATCTCCATAACCAATAAAATAGCATTTTATTGATTTCGCCTCAAGCTTGCTACGAGCATTAGCATCAACAAGAACATAAGAAACACAATCAAAGGTTCTAAGATGAGAGAGTTTAACCTTTAACCCACTCCAAGTCTCTTTAGGTAGTCCGCACTCCAATGGAACAGATGGTCCACTATTGATTAGGTACACTGCAGTGTTCACTACTTCTGTCCAAAATGTAGGTGGTAGCCCTGCATGCAACCTCATGCTCCTAGCACGCTCATTGATGGTTCTGTTGATGCGCTCAGCAACGCCATTTTGCTGTGGTGTCCCAAGAATGGTCTTCTCCATTCTGATACCTTGAACTGCACAGTACTTCTTGAATCCTCCATCAATGTACTCTCCGCCATTATCAAACCTTAAGCATTTCAACTAGGGCCTTCCACTTTTTAAACACATCAAACACGTCAGATTTATATTTCAAAAAATAAACTCATACCTTTCTACTATGGTCGTCAATGAAAGTGACATCGTATCGGGAACCTCCAAGGGATGTCACTGGGGAGGGTCCCCATACATCTGTGTGTACAAGATCTAGCTTTCCTGATTTTAGAGTTCTGTCACTCTTCAAGAAACTGACCTTTTTCTGCTTCCCAAGTATATAGCTCTCACATATGCCCAAATCAACTGCTTTCAGTTTTGGTAGCTTGCCTTTTGACATGAGTTCCTTCATGCCTTTCTGACTCATATGACCAAGTCTACAATGCCACAATTCTGTCGTACTCTCTACAGTGGTGGTGGCAATAGTATCACTGGAACCGTCTGTCATGTACAAAGTGTCAGTCTTGTTACCCCGAGCCAGCATCAGTGCTCCTTTAGAAACTTTCCAGGTGCTATTTGAAACACTATTGAGTGACCACTGTTGTCGAGCTGTCCCACAAAGATAAGATTCTTCTTCAACTCGGGAATGTGCCTAACTTTCTGCAAGGTCCACACATTCCTATTAGGAAGTGTAATATCAACATCTCTTGTCCACACTCCATTTAGTGTCTGACCGTCAGCTAGGTACACTATTCCAAAATCACCAACAACATAATTCCGCATGATTTCTCGGTGAGAGGAGGTATGAAAAGATGCCCTTAAATCCAGTATCTAGTCATCAAATGGAGGATTATGAATGGCAAGTAAGTGCGTCTTGCACTTCTTCAACCATTACATTCGCACCATCGCCTTCTGTCTTTTTTAGATTTTTGCAGTTCTTCGTTATGTGGCCAGTTTTGCCACAATTCTAGCAAGTTGTCTGCTGCTGTCCAGTTCTTGACTTACTTTTGCCCCTGTTATTTGATTTTGATCTTCCTCTATTTGAGTAGTTTCTGTCATATGACCTCCCACGAGTGTCAACATTCAGAGCAGAACTCGATCCCGAGGTCTCACCAGAATCCCTCTACACACCTCATTAGCCAAAATTAAATCATGAATATCATCGTATTTAAGTTTCATCTTACCAGCAGAATTACTAACAACCATCCTCATGGATTCCCAACTGTTTGGCAGTGATGCCAGCAATATCAGAGCCCGAATCTCATCATCAAATTCAATTTCAACAGATGATAATTGATTGGTATTGGTATTGAACTCATTCAAGTGTTGGATAACAGACGTACCTTCTGCCATCCTCAGATTGAATAACTTTTTCATCAGATATACCTTATTATTCGCATAAGGCTTTTCATACATACCTGACAAAGTCGCCATGAGATTTGAAGTGGTCTTTTCTTTGGTAACGTTGTGTGCAACTGATCTTGAAAGGGTCAATCGAATAACCCCTAGAACCTGTCGGTCTAACAGTTTTCAGTCTTCATCTTTCATGCTCTCTGGTTTCGTCCCTAATAATGGAAGATGAAGTTTTTTCCCATAGAGGTAGTCCTCTATCTGCATCCTCCAGTATCCGTAATCTGTGCCATCG